TCCAAGCTCACAAACTAATTTTACTTAAAGAAGCATTAAAAGAGAGTAATCATATTTTAAGAATTCGCAATCAGAAAAAAAAATGCAGTTTGCCTCTATCAAATATAATTCACGTATGTTCCTTCACATGCTATGATCTTTAGTTAAGCCTTCTTATCAGAAATACAGAGGCTGTTTGCACATTTTTTTAGATGATTTTCATTGTATTCACAGAAATATTTTACCTAAAACTTTCATGTTTTAAATGTTCAATTTAAAAACCGTTATTCTCCACTATGCTTGTACACTGTAATTTCCGAGACAGTAAAGCTTTTTGTAGTATCAGAAGAGCATTTTATCCCATTCCTCTTGAACAGCTTTCTAAAGTCGAAGGAGGATAGTTGGTCGACATTTCGACAATATCCTTTTTAAAAGTCCATGGGAGATACATCAGGAGATTTAGAAGGAATATGAGTGAAGGGTATAAGCTTTGATACCCATTTTTTCCAGTAAATTAACAATAGAACTTAACGTGTAGCTGCTTGTCTCAATGCAGTTCTACTGAATGAAGGCACCGTGATTAGAAAGTGCTTCATATTCAAAATCTGCATATCAAATATTGTTACAAAATGTCCAGCCGTGGTAAGATAGCTCAAAGCAGATTTAGGGTTGCCAGAAAATGACAAGGGAAGGCAGAGCTGCCACATTTGGTGACATACCATAGACGGGGGAGAACATTCTGGTACAAATTCTTACTGGTTTAGCCCAGAATGTTCTCGAACACAAGCTAAAAGCTATATAAACTCTGCTGTTATGAGGAGAGTCGATCCAGTTGAAAGTCAGTGAGTGCCTAGTCGAGTCAGTTAATAGTCACTGAGCGTGTCTCTTGCAGTCTAGCGCATCAAGATAGTCTCTTAGTGCGAGTTAGTGCATCATCGAGTTTCATTTTAAGAGTGTGTTGAGCTCTAAGAATGACTGAGCATATTCGGAAGTTGTATTCTAGTGTATCGTAGAGTGCATCACAAGTTGCAGCATGGAGAGTCTCGAGAGTACGTAGAGTTCCGAGAACAACCAAGCAAGAGTCGGAAGCTGTACTCTGGTGCTTTGGCGTGTAGCTGTCTTCACCGTTATAGCTTGAAGGCTGTGTCGCTGATTGTTTCAGTGTGCTTGTTCTTAGTCTTCGACGACTGTAAACATTTTATTGGAGCTGTCCCGAGAAATACTGGCTAATAAATTGTGTTTTGATATTTCATCAAGTGTCGTCGTCATTCACTCCAAATCCACGAACTCTTAACGTAAGTGAAGAAAAATGTAACATGTTTCTCATACTATGTGGAGTTGATCTTACCATTTTCCTCTACTCTCATCATTTTTAATTTGCTATTATATGAAAAACTAACAACAATCATAAATCTCTCTGAAAAATAATCTTTAAATTCTTTGAACCATGTTTTAAGATTTTTTTTCTCTTCTTTAACGATAATAAAAAAAATGGGTCTCTTTTTATTGCAGTCATTTAAATACACCCAAGATTCATTTCTTGTGACATTTTTACATTTTAGTCCAGATAAACGTTTGTCATAAAGAATTCTGCAGAATGTTTTTCGTTCGGCATTATGACATGGAGATAAAGGATGCAAATAGGTTTTTTGCCTTTTTAAGATTCAAATCTGCATTAATCACTGTTTATAGCTGAACGAATCATGTTATTGACTTTGCAACTGCCCTTGGCGGATTTTTTGCACCTTTTCGACACTACTTTGGTAGACCGGTGCACGGTTTTTTTTGCAATTTTTCTTGGTGCAATTGTTAGCACGATGGCACCCATTGCTGGAACACTGATTTATGATAACCCATAGTTCGTCTGCTGTAACGTTCGAAGTCATTTATTTTTTTAAAAAATGAATATTAATATGTATGAAGTCTGTGTTTTAAATATTGTAAATTGATTTAATTTTGTACTTTTATTTGAAAGACATTTCATTATTTATGATTATTTAATTAATTTTAATCCTGTTGATATATTGGCTTGCTGATTGGTTATCAAATAATGCGCTATTTTTTCGTTATACGTTCAATTCGAAAAGGTTTATGAGTAAATACTGGTGTTTTACTTCGTTTTATACTGAAAATGAGCTTAAGCTTGTACCCAAAATAGATGAGTATCTTATCATCGGTCCTGAGAATTGTCTGTCTATGGGTCGCGAACATTTCAGTGTTATTTGGCTTGTAAAAAACCGGACATAATAATGTCAAGGGCCCGGTTATCAGATGCTCATATTGAAAGAGCTAAGCACTCTCCTGATGAAAATAAAGACTATTGCTCAAAGGATGGTAAATTCACGAAGTATTGGAACTTTACCCAAATCTGCTAATGGAGGTAGCAAATTTAAGAAAGTTCTTAAGTTCAATGAGGACAGTGACATTACTGCCATTAAGAGTTCCTGTATTTCTGTTACAACACGACTTTGGAATCTGCTTTCAGTGAAATCTAAATTATGATTCCGTTTTTTATGGTAGTACTTACCCATAAATGCTTAGGAGTTAGGCACTCGATCAAAACGTAAGTATATATTTTCTATTACTTTACATATGTATACTTCATTTTTTTTATAAAAAAGATTCATACATTATTTTCCACAATTGCTGTGCTATTTTTTATTGCCCCAGATATTTTGCACTTAAATAATTATAGAAAATTAATTTCTTTTGAAATGTTTCAATTCAAGTAATATTTTAATCTGATTAAACGTTGGCATGATGTTTTAAAAGCTGTGTTTTTATTCTGTTTCTTTGCTATAAAAGTAATAATTTAACCATACTTCAGTATTTTATATTCGCAGTAAATATATTTATATACAATTGCCTGCCATCTTGAAAAATGACATTTTGAACAAAAAATTAATACGTTATTTTAAATGATATTGCATATTTTTAAAATGTTTCTATGCGTAATGGTGTTTTTCAAGACGGCAGACGATTATAAAAACTGTGCCAACAACTGTGACAAGAAAACCAGACTGCCCACCAAAGTAGCACCTTTTTTTCTAACATTAATAAAAACATTAGTTTTTTCCTTGGATTATGTATTTGGAATCATTTTTCTACTTGAAGCCAAATTTTTACCTTATTTACTTTTTCTTGTTCACAATTTTATCTATAATAGCTTTAAATACCAAAATACTGTGGCTTTCACAACATTTTTTAATTACTAGATAGGAATAATTTTATTCGAAAACAGCACAAACATAGTCTTTATCCACTGCTTCTTTAAAAGTGCCATATCACATGAAAACAAAACTGCCAAGTAGCAGACGGTAATTTATATTTTTAAAAGTATAGTTTCAGTTAAAAAAGCAAATTTTCAAGCAGGTGCTTTGGCTAATCTTTAGAATATGGTAACAGGTAGTTTTGGCGACATTTTGGTAAGGCGATAAAGGTTACTAGCTAGGACTTTAGCAGTGTACATGGATAAAGTCAAGAGTGTGCGCAATGCCATATTTATGCAATTCAGGGATGGTTTTTTAAGTGAAAATAGGTTGACGCGTACATGGATACCGTGTATGTGCAATTCTTAAAAACGCGGCAAGCAGTTTGCGATTCTGCACTTTCTCCCAATTTTGCACCTAATCTTCATCATGATTAAGCACTTTTGTTCCATAAAAGTTCTAGCATAAGCGTAATTCGGCTAGCAGATTGTCGGGAAAAAAGTGTTGAGTTAAAAAAAAAAAAAAGCCTTTACTTTGTGAAAACAAAATGGCGTCAAAACAAAAACTAGCAGGTTGCTGTAGCAGGGTTGGTCGCCAAAAAATCGCCAAGTTACCATAATCCAAAGATTAACAAAAATGTGTAAGCAGCTTCTGTAGTATACACAAAAGAGATAATTTTTCCTTGTCAATTATCAAAAGGTAAAATTAGTAAAAAGCGACGGAGATGCGAGTACATAATTTATATGTATGTGAATAAATATGCTAATTTATATTCTTTAAATTATTTATTTTCAGTTGCCTGGTCAATGATTTTTATGTTAACAATAATGAATACAATGCAAGATTTAATTTTAAACATGCAAGTCCAAGTTCATTCTAGAGATAAAAATATTGTTCATGGACTGTATTTATCAAACACAGCAAAGCACACTAGGGCTATCTGCCTTTCTTGGTTTTGCAAAGTCCCATGGCATTTTGATATACTTATGCATAGCTTTATGTGAAAGAATAAGAAATTTGTTTAGCTGTCTCAAAATCAGTGCCACCCCTTGTTTACTATTTTATAAATTTATTTATTTTAATTTTGCTAAGATAGAGGTTGGTCTTACTTTCATGATTAATTCATTTAATAGGAATCTGCATGTTACCATTGTTTTGATATCAATTTGAAACGATAAACATATTTCGTTCAAAAGACAAATGTGACGGTATATTCAGAAACAAAAGAATGATTCAAATTCATAGTTTTTAATACAAAAATTTTTTCAATATATCCAAAATTTAATAAATAAAAATAAAATAAAGAATGACAGAAGATTCAACAGTTCAATGACAGTCATTTACTATTCCTATATCAGATGTCTGACCAGTAATTTCAGCTTAGCAGTAAATGAATACTAACAAGCAAACTTATGTCAAAAACATTGAAATTAATGAAAAAGTGGGAAGGCGAGGAGGATATGTTCATTTATCAATAAGGAATAAGATGCTTAAGGTGATCATGAATATCGTTTGTGCATAGTAAAATTCTTATTCATTATAAACTTGTACTTACTCATATAATTAACATAAAACAATAAGTATTAAAATTGATTAAAAATATGCAAATTCATGATTTCTGATAATCGCTAACGAATTTTAAAACAATACTTTTGCTTAAACTTAATATACGATGCACTCCATCCCCCCCAAAAAAACTAAAAAACGATATAAATAATTAGAAAATCTGCCCATGCTTAATGAAATACATATTACATGAAATGCGTATATTTTTGTCTTTGACATAAACCGAATTCACTGGGTGAAACGTACCTCCTTGTCCTTTAAACCTAATAACAATACTTCTTCCATTAATGTAAGCCTAGTTTCTTTAGAATCAACGTCCTCCTCTTCATTTTCATCAGAAAGATGTTTTTCAGGTTCATCATCTTTATTGTTTGTTCGCTCGATATTGTGAGCAACTGCATTTTTTCTCAAAACAAGTCCTTCTGTTCTATTCATTTCAAATGTAAAAACCTTCTCATATATGAATATCTGTAAATTATAATGGGGAAAAGATCCGCACAATGTGTCAATACGCTATAAAGTCATTCCGCTAATGAAAACATGTTTAACACCCTTTCTAAAAATTTTGAAACACTTAACTTTAAAAGATATGGAGGTCAGTTTGCATTGGAACGGAAATGATGATCATAAATTGTGACGTTGCGCCATCTGTTTCCGTTACCAAAGTTGCACCAGTGTATTTTCCGAACAAAAATTTCCCACAAATTGAATTATAATAATTAACGGATCTTTTTTTTTTTTTTTTTTTTCACTAAAAAAATATATATACAATATTTATGAATCTCTTAAAAATGTAATAAGATTCGAGTAAGTGCCATGCCATATCAATCATATAAGTTGTTTTTATTTCCAAATGCTTAGAGCTTATTTTAAATTTTATTAGAAATTAAATTTAATTCAAATATTGCTGCATACTTTTTAGTATTTTATTATTTCTCTACGAATTTTGTCACTGCTAACATAATTCTCATCATATATCCGTAACTGTTAAAGAAAAAAAAATTTTTTTCATCTAATTTGTTGTTCTGTCGTTTCAGAGAAGCAGTACTCCCTTTTTTTGTTTTTTGGGTAAACATTAACGGTCCAAAAAGTAAGCATGGCTTCACCAGCACTTAAAATTATCAGGATAAAAGGGGGCGTAGTAAAGAGGTTTGAATTTTTTTTTACCTTGCTAAATTAATACCCGATCGGTCTGACTGATGTTCTGAATTAATAAATATAGTTATCACAAATAAACATTTTACTCGAAAAATAAAATTGGTTTTGGGTGGGGTTTCGAATGACAATCGAATCAGTTTTAAGCAAATTAATATTTGTGAAATATTGACAATGTTTTAACTCCGTCTCAGATATTTCACTTTAGTCTCGAGAAGAATTGCAATTTCAGGAAAAGCCTCTGATAAGATTAGCTTCTGTATGTTAGTTTATTATTTATCTATTTGTCATTAGTTTAACACAACTTATTGGTTATTTATTTATTTACATTTTATTCATTATTTTATTTATTTAATTTTGTTTATTTTTTCTGATGGCCTTCCGTAGGTCTTAGGTTCTTATAATTTAAGAAATAAGGATCTGGTGTAAACTGATATATTGATAAATTTCTCATCCCTTGTGCATGCTTTAAAACACTTAAATGAGTTTAGTAAGCATTTATTGTATAATAAAACATTGACAGTTTTCATTAATTACTCTGATAAGTTAAATCAAAACTGGTTGATACTTCTCTCATTACAAAATAGACAACAGCTGATCTTTAAAATATGGTAACTGGTAGTTTGGCGAAATTTTGGAGGCGATAAAGGTTACTACCTGGGACTTTGGTATAATGGCATACTCAGTTCCGATACGCTTATTTTGTGTGAGGGAAATGAGAGAGATCATGGATATCATGTGATATACTGGACGAATTCGGTTCTTTATTTGGAAAAGGGGGGAAATCTGGAAATTGTATTTGGCTTTATTCTGTGTTGTGTAAAACAGTGTCGTTAATTTTTGAATCCCATGGCCCTAAATAAAGTGAATTCGAAATGGGATTAGTGGGATTGAAAGGAAGGGTAGTAATAAGTGTTTCTTTAAGGTTGTGTGACTAGAAAGTAAAGATGTTTATTAGTTATTTTTTACCTGGTCCTTGCTGGGAACTATAAGTATGATTTTAAAGATCCGAAACAGAAATAAGAAAGTTTATCGACACGTATTCAAGATTCTGAAGAAGATTAGTATTTTATTATTTGAGGATATATTTTGCATTGTTCTAAATGTAAAGGGGAAGTAAGTAATTTGTATTATTGGGGAAAATTGTTATTAGCAATATTTAGTTTAAAGTAATTAGGATTGTAAGGTAATTTTTATTATTAATATATGTGCTTATTTTATAGTTTTAATAATTATATTTTAATAAATGATGAGTATTTTGTGAATTTTATGTTTTAGGAATTTGGTACGTTTGGTTGAAGTAAACGGCATGGAAATAATTAAAAATTGACACTAAGTATTGTAATGCTTGCGGTATGAATTCGTTGGTGACGTTTATAATATAAAAGATGATTTAGAGGTAAAGTTTTTGGATATTTTATTTATTTTATTTGGAAATGTTCATATTGGAAAGGGTATATACTTTTTCGCGATCTAATTTATAATGTTCTTTTTACCAGGTTTAAAGATTCAGAAAATTGTATGTTTTTCGTGAAATTTTCTAATTATGAGAAAAAAGCAGTGTACATGGATATCGGAAGAGTGGCGCAATGCCATTTGTGTAATTCTGGGATGTTTTTTAAGTAAAGTTTAAAGTTTAAAAAAAATTTTTTTTTTTTAAGTCAATGTGGACATGGTTTATGTTTATGTGTTATTTTGAAAATGCGTAAGGAGTATGGTATTGTGCATTTTCCCAATTTTGCAGTGAATATTTGTTATGATTAAGCAGTTTTGTTAGATAAAAATTTCTAGCATAAGTTCGGGTAGTAGTTTTTGGAAGAAGTGTTCAGTAAATAAAAAGAAAAAACATGTCTTTACTTCGTGAAGACAAATGGCGGCGGGGAAAAAAAAAATAGAGGGTTGCTGTAGGAGAGTTGGTCGCCAAAAAATCGCCAAGTTACCATAATGTAAAGATCAACCTAGACAACTTTCGTGAAATTGTTCACTGGAAACGGAGAAAATTTTTTGTGAAATCTTTTGTATGAAAAAAAAATGGAAAGTTTGTGATCAATCAATAAGTAGCAGATCAATTTCTAGCATAATTGATATTTTATATTTCTTAAATTAGAATGTAGAGTATTTAGTTTATTTTTTCGCCAGCTTTGTATCACTGTAGCTATGTTTTCTATCTTATTTGCAAAAAGTAATAACAATCTGTATTAAAAAAATTTAAATAATTCAGAGTGAAACTTTCTCCTATCATGTGTAGCTTTATGATACAAACAAAAAAAATTAAGAATTATTAAATATGTAACTAAAAATTCTGTATTCAATCATGTATCAGTATGAATAAATGATGAATTCATACGTATTATTACTGTGTAACTGTGTTTAAGTGGCATATGTGGCATTATTGAGGATCTTAAAAAAGTGTTTTCTTTCTTACTTAAATAAATAACAGCATGGAGTTTTTTAAACATAACTGTTTTATGTTTTTTTGAAAAGTTGATCATATCATAATGATTAGGAAATTTTAATAGCAGTGAAATTTGGATGTTATATTTGAAAACAAAATCATTCTTGTGCCTTATTTTATTAACTGTCAAATTGTGACATTACACCTGCCAGAAAATAAATATGTATTACTATGGAATTCTGTTTAAAACCTGTCATTTTTCACTGTAAACCGACAAAACTAATCACAAGCAGAATTATGGAAAAATTATGAATACAGTGCAGGATTTATGTATAAGCTAAACAAGCCTCCATTTTCTTGGGAAGCCTCCAAAAAAAATTAAAATACAGCATAACAGACGTATAAGGGCCCCATATCTCAAATAGCTTAGGGCCTAATGAAGTCTAAATCTGGCTCTGTATGAATACAGATTCTCTCTTGATTAGTATTTATTTTGTGTGCTCAAATCTAATATTTGTAAGTTATTGTTAATTTCGTTAATCATAAATCTGCAACGTGATAACTTTGAGTTATTTCTCACTGTGTAAATCACAGGATTGTTTCTAGTCCTGTAACCTGTAACAGGTACACCATAATGGCTTGTTCACATTTGAGCAAGTGAAGAAGTGCTTTTATGCTATGCTTAGTATTTATCATACCATATTTTAAAATTAAATCATGTACAAGAATTTATTGCATACATAACTGTTAATTAGATAGTTTGATAGTAAAAATGCATGTTCTGTATAGAGTTTTAATATTTGAGGATAATATGGATTTTAGTTTTAATATTTGAGGATAATATGAGGACCATAAAAAATCGCCAAACTATTGTTGATCCCAATGCTGCCAAAAATAATTACAGGAACCCTAACCCAAGAAAGGAAGCATAATGGTAAATAAATATATAAGATTATTGTTTTAATTTAGATGAAAAGTTAATTCCGTATAATACAGTCAAAAGTCGTTAATTCGGACACCCATAATCCGGAACTCAAAGCTACAAACTTTCTGCGCATGCGTTGCGTTCCGCGTGCGATATTCGCATTCCGTAAGGTCTTCGCGTCCATAAATGCGGTGCGCATGTCCGTTCACGATGCGCCAGGCGTTTTGAGAGCGCGTAAGACCCTAGGCTGCGATCTGTTGTGCGCATGCGTGTTTAATTGTAACGAGTGATACGCTAAGCTAAAATTATAATTCAGTTATGTGAATTGCGTTGTTCCTTAATCTTCGAATTGGATCGGCTTATTATTTTTTGCAGACTGTTAGAGCATTTATAAAGTAATCTTGAACTTCGATTATGCCAAATTTCCGATATATATTTACAAAGCGAAGTATGTTTTGAAATCCAAAATCTGTTATCAATTTCCCTGTGTCCGCGAGGGGGGGGGCAGAAACGTCTTATAGATATGATCGTTAGAAAATATGTCAAATAAATTTCCGATTCTTTTACTATATGTAATTGGATCTACAAAGCGAAGTAGTTTTGACCTAAATCGTTTATCAATTCACGCCGTGGTGGGAGTGATCTGTCACACTATCCTTCTCTCAGCAGCTGTTTTATTTTATTTGGTTTAAATGCCATACTAAGTGTAATATTTCATCTCGATCTACGCGTCTTTGATCTGATTAATCACGTTCCTCGTCATTATAATTCGCTTCGATAGGAAAAAGTGGCCCCGAGGTTTCTTGAAACGAAAACATTGGATGACAAATTCGTGTTCTCAACACCATTTGGACTTGCACAGTGGAACTTGTCCAAATAAGAAATTAGTCTGTTAAAGAATTAAGAGAAAGTAAGCACATGAACTAAGGAACTACATTAAGAAAATGTTTAATAATAAAATCATAAATATTAAGCTTTTCTTTTGTAAATTGTACCTTTAGATCTAATATTCTTTATTTCATAAATTACGGTTTCATATTTTTAATTTTGTAATTTCTCATGTTATCTACCAGATTAATTGATGATCTATAATCGAAATCGATATCCGGAATCGCGAGTCCCCGTTCCGGATTAACGACTTTTGCTGTACATT